CATATCAGTCACATGTAGCAGCTGTAAAAGCATTAGGAYTCTACAGCAGGTAAAAAGGCACACCAGGAGCAAAGAGATGGCTGGAATTTACATGAGCTGCATTATTMTTCTTTACCAACTACTCCTCACTAAGGATGACCACAATACAATCTTGCTCAAACCAGAGATGCTCCATTAAAAAAGACATTGTTGAGAAAATCAAAATTCATTACAAATTCTTTAATATYCTCAAGTTCTGTACTTCAGGACCCCATAATAAAGTTGAAAGAATACAGCTCATCACATTTTTTTTTCCAAAAACGTGAGAAAACTTACATCCACAAAATTCTYATCCTTACATTTGTGTTCATTACTTTATGGTGTCTAGAAGAACAACACTGATTCACAGTTGATGCTCCTGCTCTTTGCAATGAGACGTATATATTTTTAACATATCCATAAAGCAGTTTTGAAACTTAACACTAGCATGCCCAAGCACTGCTATACATATTCAACCAGGGCATCCCACAGGCAGCAATGCAAAGCACACAGAAATCTGGACAAACCAGCTGGCCCAGGCTTCCTCCAAAATCAGCGAGCAAGAAGAGCTTTACAATGCTTGCAGCAGAGTCCTGAGATGTTGATACTGAACCACTGATTCAAAATAGAATACTGTGTTATTCCGTGAAAAACATTTAACAGATCTGTTTCCATGATCTAAACAGTTATTCATAACAGGGACGAGCTGGATCAATCCACTTTTCTAAATAAGCTGATATACGCATTTCTTTTATTACAGTTTTCCTGGAACAACAACTGGATTCTACTGACTCTGCTGATCCTTTAAGCAAGGAAAATGTTGAAGTAGGGAGCAGTATTTTCAGTGCAACAAGATAACGTAAGAGGCATGAAAAACTGTGACTTGTTTCCACTTTGTAGCACCTGATTCTGTCTTCAAGACAGCAAGGGTTTTCTTGTAACAAGAACTAAGAAATTGAGACCAAAAACCCATAAGAAGGACCAGAAATGACAAGTACAAACAGAGGAATGAAATACATGGTTTTCTTAGCATTCCATTACTGAAGAAAATACAAAGACTGCTGAGCTAAGGTAATCTTTCAACTATTCATACAAATAGTATTCTAAACCCCAAAACAAGTTACGATATTCCCTGTGCAACGTATTTACCTATTTAAACTTAGTAACAGTTTATCTACATAGCTGGAGATACTTTAAACTAGAAGAAACCGGTWCACTGAGTGCTCTCACAATGGTCATCTACAATTCTTTCATATTTGTCCTTGTACTTATTCTTTGCTATGCTGCACCATAGACTCCCCCTTTGCTGGCTCTGTGAAATGTTTTCTGGAGTATTGTCTTACAGAAAGACACAAACCGAGTTTTCCATATTCTGAGGCCACTCTAGCAATAACAGGCTGTTTTCCAACCTTGTACACTATCCCCACTGTGTTTCACACTGCTTACCACAGAAAACTTAAACTCCACTCCCTCACCTGAAAAAGAAAGCAAATTTAGCTAAGCATTTTTAAAAGGACAGCTGTGTTTCTTCACATTCAACATCCTTTTACACCAAAACAGTAACTCATCTATGAGTGCTACCTYCCAACACACTTCAGGAAYTGTGTGCACAGCATTTTCAATAATTTTGATCATTATGGCTTTTCTTTGAGAAAGCTTGTGGGATAGTGTTTCAGAGTGCAGAAAATGAAAAGACCTTTCAGGAGGACTAAGGCCTGTTTCCAAGATACTTCATTCATCTCTATATTTGCCTGACACCCTGAAGAGAGGTGTTCCATAAATGGAAATTTATAGATACTGGCTGTATCCAGTTTCTGCCATRTCTTCTATGCTTTGTGATCTTTACTGTCCCTGTAACTTTCAAGTCACAGTTGTCAACGGTGTTCATGAGCTAAAATAATTTTCTTTGTAGCTGACTCTCAATGCCTTAATGGCTTAAAAAAAACGAAAAAACCAACACCCCTCCCCCCTCCCAAAAAAAAAAAAAGTAGGACCAAAGGATTAAAAATAATGCTGGAAGGTAACTAAGAGCCTATGGAGCAAGAGAGTAACTAAGCCCTATGGAGCAAGAGAAAYCCAAGCCACAGCCAGCTCTCAGTTGTTGAACTGAGCTACCTGAAGCCAGTGCTTGAGCTTCCTAATCAGATGCAGTCAACAACTCTATCCTTATCTGGATATAATAAAGGCATGAGTTGAAATGGTATCTTATTCAGGAAGTAGGGATATTTCTTAGAATGTRTAAGATGAAGAAAARGAARAGAGAATGAAAAAAYGTGGGACCTCAAGAAAGATATCTAYCAAGACTAYTTTTTTTWT